CTTTATGCACAGAACACAAATAAAGAGATCAGGATGACTAGTGGGGGAGATTGAGCATCTGTTGCCTACTCAGTACAATGAACCTGGAAGCAATCAGCTTTGAGCACTTCTGGGTTCACAGCTGTTACATCCCGACTGGGATAGAGAAGCAAATCGGGATGTTTTGTCCTTGATCTGCTGGGACATAGTTCAGAGGAAGTCTATCTAAAATTAATTAGTGCATTTTTTTTTTTTTTTATAAACTTTTTCATGTACAGAATAAATATGACTGAAATTTGGCTGAACGTTTTCAGTTTAAGCAGCACTGTAAATTCCAGAAGGAATTGTTTACTACTTACTGCACTTCTTATAATTCTCCTAGATCAGGGGTCAGCAACCTTAAACACTCAGAGCCATTTGGACCCGTTTCCCACATAAAAGAAAACACCGGGAGCCACAAAACCCTTTTGACATCTAAAATGAAGATAACACGGCGTATATTGTTTTTTACCTTTATGCTATGTATATAGGTATATGTGGGCTTAGTAACGCACTGGACTCTGGGCTTAGTAACGCACTGGACTCTGGGCTTAGTAACGCACTGGACTCTGGGCTTAGTAACGCACTGGACTCTGGGCTTAGTAACGCACTGGACTCAGGGCTTACCTGAGACCCCGCAGAGCCCACCTGAGAGTGACCCTGCAGAGGCCACCATAGATCCTGCACAGCCCATCTGAAACTCTCGATGGTGGGTTCTGCAGGGCCTCAGGTGAGCTGGTTGCCAGGGTCCCTTTCCCTGTACCTCCTCCCAACTCCTCTTACCTGCTGGGGCCTGGCCTCCTCCACCCCCTCCCCTGTCACCTCTGCCATGCCGTCCCTTGGAACAGCTGATACTCATGTAAGAGGCCCTCCCAGGCTGGCCAGACCCCTCACATGGGTACTGGCCGTACCCCCTTGATGGCGGTATTCTATCAAAGTTTGTGACTACGTTACAATGTGTGACTGGTAAAGTGGTCACACATTTCAATGTAAGCCCGCCCAGTTTTTTGGAGGTGGAATGTGTGACCGCCAATAGGTGAAGCATTCCAACGCTTTCCCAGCTGTTCCAGGGCAGATTGGCATCGCAAATCGTATGCTCAAGAGAACTGATCTGCGCTGGAACAGCTGTTCGGTTCTGAAATGTCTATTAGATTCTGAGTGCGATCTCACATTCCACCCCACTCACAAAGTCTTATAGAAGTGACATTTGAGGACCGAACAGCTGTTCCAGGGCAGATCAGTTCTGCACTGCAACATATTCCACTGGGGGGGTGCCCAGGACCGGATCTCACTGGATCCCCCCCCTACACACACAGCCTCAGGCCCCGAGGCCCAGCGGTAGTTCAGCCCCTGGACAGGGAGCCGCAGCAGAGGGATGAAAGAGCCACATGCGGCTCCGGAGCCACGGGTTGCTGACCCCTCTCCTAGATCATCACATCCTTGGTAATTATGATTCTATTGTAGTGGAAATAAATCCCACATGAATGTGTCCGCCCCTGTGATGAGGAGAGCTGGCTGAAATTCTACTTTTCCATGTCAATAGGGATGGGTTGTGGTATATTTTGCAACATACATGTTGAAGCAGAAGTTCTGTTTATAACAAAAAACCTGTTGGCCAATCTTCCATAAAAACCCTCCCCCTCCACCCAGATGCTAACTAACTTCCCTATTACAGCTGCAACCTCCTTCGCCAAAAATCTTCTCCAGTGCTGCCTACTCTGTGAGTGCCAATAACCTTTGTGCTGTACTCAAGCACTAGAGATGCTAGGAGTACAACCCCGCTCAAGTCTGTAGGGTTTCACCTCGCCATACAGACATTGGCAGTTACAAAGGAGGAGGCTACCACTCTATCATGGTAAGCAAGAATCTGTTTGCGGGTATCTGTGTTAGATTAGGGGTCTAGGCTGAAGGAGGAGACCACCACTCTCATGAAGAGGTAATCAAGCATCTGTTTGGGGGCATCTAGGTTAGATTGGGGGTCTAGGCTGAAGGAGGAGGCCACCACTATCTCGTGGTAAGAGGTAAGCAAGCATCTGTTTGGGGGTATCTAGGTTAGGTCAGGGGTGTAGGCTGATCTTGTCCTTTAAAACTGTTAGAAACACTTGTATTTAACTATTTAGAAAAATAGCTTTGTAAAAAGAGGAGGGGGCCACCACTCGCATGGAGAGCTAAGCAAGCATCAGTTTGGGGGATGGGTGTTATCTAGGTTAGATTAGGTCTAGGCTGAAGGAGAGGGCCACCGCTTTCATTGGAGAGGTAAGCAAGCATCTGTTTGGGGGTATCTAGGTTAGATTAAGATAGGGGTCTAGGCTGAAGGAGGTGGCCACCACTCTCATGGAAAGGTAATCAATCATCTGTGGGGTAGCTAGGTTAGGGGTCTAGGCTGAAGGAAGAGGCCACCACTCTCATGGAGAGGTAATCAAGCATCTGTTTGGGAATTATCTAGGTTAGGGGGTCTAGGCTGAAGGAGGAGGCCACCACTCTCATGTAGAGGTAAGCAAGCATTTGTTTGAGGGTATCTAGGTTAGATTAGGTTAGGGGTCTAGGCTGATCTTGTCCTTTAAAACTGTTAGAAATACTTAACTATTTAGAAAAAGAGCTTCTATTCCTGCACTCTGCAGTGGTGTGGGTGAAAATGAAACTGCTGCTGCGGGTTTATAGTGATCCCTTTGGCCACATTTAAATCCGATGATGATGATTATATAGTACCAACAATTTGCGCAGTGCTTTTCAAAATGAAACAATACAGTTACAATACGATTCAAGGAGAGATAGGTGGAACCTGCTTGTGAGGGCTTACAATCTATATAGTCTAACCAATCATGGAAAATGTTGGATGGGACGAAGGGCTTGCTCTGGTTGATATCAAGTCTTTGTGTAAATGGAGTCGAAGAAATAGTCCTTAAATTTGAATTCATACTACCAAGGAAATTGGACAATAGGAATTTATGGGCAATGCATACCATGCGTACTTGCTTTTTCGTTAAGTTTCCTTAAACATGTGCACCCAGAGTCATGTGATGCCAATCACTTACTCCTTACCCTATCAGTATTGACTTGCTCCAAAGTGTCTTTGCATGTTTCTGGGTTTTGCAGGATTAAAGCTGAATTCTAGGGAAAACAAAACATAACCTTGCAGTAGGGCTTCCCCCGCACTGCAGGAGTTAAACTCTCCTTTATGCCTACTGTACCAGTAAAAAGGATTTTTTATTACTGAATCCCTCGCTCCCGCGGGCTCCTTCTATGCTATGAAACCAGCCCCTGCAGGATCTGCTGTAAGGTGCCCTGGCAGTTGCAGCCACTCTGTTGTCATCAAGTACAATGCAGGACTGGTAGCCCTGAATTGTACGAGGGGACGCAGAGTGACAACCCACAACCCAGGGCAATGAGGAGAATGCTGGCTGTCTGGGACGTGAGGGATTGGGTAAGAAAAGTCAATTTTCATGGTATTATTGGCATAAACAAGCAAGGGTATTATTTTCCCCGGAGCTTATTCTTACGCTGTCATTGACTTGGCTAATTTCTTTACAGCACTGGATTTAGATGACGACGATGATGGACCACGGATAGATCTGGTTCGACCACAAAGTTCACAGCTAGAGCAAAGCTCAGCAGAGAAAATGGTATCAAATCAGAGCAGCAGCAAAGCTGAAGATTCTAAAGGTAATGTTGAACCTTGTATCTCTGTGATAGCAAAACACATTATTGAGGTGCTTTAGAGTTGAAGAGATCCATCATGATGGAAATCAGCTGCCATTGCAAACATACTTTTTAAAAATCTGCAAATTTCCCTTCCTTTGTTGGTTTAACGGATCAGTACTTCCGGGTAAGGGGGAGCATTTGCCTTACCCCACATAACCGTGCTCCAGCCTGATTGGCCAATTGCCAGGTGAGCTGGCAGATGCCCTCAGTGCCTGGATTGGTCTGTTTACCTATCTGGGAAGGGTGGTTTGCTGTCACTTTGCCCTGTATAGGTAGGTTACAGTTTCTGTTTAAAGCTGAACATCAGGCAACTTTAAGAAGCAATTCAGTTATGTATAGGGAAGCACTGATACCGTTTTTTTGGTACTCACCGATACCGGAAGTCCCAATAAGGAAGCCGGTCGGCGTGTAATGAGTTGCCGTCTGGCTTCCTGATTACCCGGGAAGCTGGCTCCATGCTCCCTCATCAACAGGTAATGAGGAAGCATGGAGCTGGGGGTCCGGTAATGAATCGCTGCCGGGCTTCCTGATTAGCCAGCTTCTCGACCAATCAGGAAGCTGGGCGGCGAGTCACGCCGGCTTCCTGGTTGGCCAGGAAACCAGCTCCATGCTCCTTCGTCACCAGGGAGCTCGTTTCCTGGCCAATCAGGAAGCCGGGGGGCAGGTAATAACTCGAGAAGCTGGCCAATCAGGAAGTCCGGCAGCAATTCATTACCTGACCCCCGGGTTCCTTATTGGTCGGAAAGCCGGCTCCACTGACGAGAGAGCATGGAGCAGGCTTCCCGGCCAATCGGGAAGCTGGGGGGCAAGTCATTACGAGTACCCGCCCAAATACTCGGTATCGGCACCTATACTAGTATTGGTGCATCCCTAGTTATGTATTTATTAAAAATATCTTTCCTGTCCGTTGAGGGACCCAGGAAGTCTTAAACCTATAGGGGATACTGTGAAAAGGGCTGTTCACATGTGCACACTGACATATGCAGTTCTTAAAGATATCCTTTTGAATAACAGTAAAGGTTTGTTTTCAAACCTTTACTGAACAAACTGAAGAGAGAAGCTGATTGGTTGCCGTGCACAGCTGCTCCAGATTTTGTCTGCTCCAGTTTTGATAATTCCCCTCAATGTATATTGGGCTGCTTGCCTGGAGTCCAGCTTTCAAAAGAATATCTTTTCAGAACTGCATATGTCAGTGTGCACATGTGCACAGCCCTATTCACACGAGAGTCATATAACTGCAGTTTGTATGTGTCGTATGCCTATCCCAACTGCGTGAAGAATGACATAGGGGTGAATGGGGCCTTAGCTGCATGTCATTGCATTATGATAAATGAAACTCATGGGCTCCCCAGTAGCACAAACGCACCACTGACTCTTTATCTTGTAAGGACGGGTGAGGTAAATACTATATTATAGTCATTCCCCCGAACAACGGTTTCTAACTAATGACGGCTTTCTTATAAAGTAATTTCTGGACTTCTTTAGCCTTCAGAACTTCCTTTAAGGAAAAGAGACAAATGTTTAGATAATGAGCGACGATAGTTGGGATTCTTTTTTAAATAACTTTGTAAGTTTGATGTCTCCAAAAACCTTCATGTTGGGATATTATACATGGAATGTTCAAAATCAAAAGATGTTAAAGTGACACTAAACTCCGGAGTTAAATCTTAAAAATACATTCAATTCCCTTAACTATGAACAACAATGTATCTTATTTGTGTATCACTCGGCTGTAGATCCTCCAATCATCTCTGAATTGGTGCCGACACTGTCCTTCCTTCTGGAGGGGGGCTACTTGTGTTCCCCATGGTCCCTGTGTGTGTTGTAAAGTAGTCACCGCTCCAAGCTCACTCCCGGGATGGATTACAATCTCAATACGAATCAGTAAACTAAACATGAGATTGTAGTCCGTCCCGGAAGCGAGCTTGGAGCGGTGACTACTTTACAACACACACAGGGACCATGGGGAACACAAGTAGCCCCCCTCCAGAAGGAAGGACAGTGTCGGCACCAATTCAGAGATGATTGGAGGATCTACAGCCGAGTGATGCACAAATAAGAGACATTGCTGTTCAGAGTTCAGGGACTGGAATGTATTTTTTAGATTTAACTCCAGAGTTTAGTGTCACCTTAAATAAGTGGGTGATTGGATGCCTTGGGGGGGAGAGGGGGGGCAATTGTCATTTAATCATGTTCTTATCCAGCTTTAGATTTGTCACTTCCAGCTAGACTGACTGCTTTCAATAGGTGCACGTCTTCTCCAAAAAGCATTCACTGTGAAAGTCACACAAGTGTCAGTATTTCCTGTATTTTGGATTGCTTCATATGAGAGCCGATCAATAGAAGGGTCACAACAACCCTGAAAATAGTGCTTCTCACAGGAAAGACTTGCAACTATTTTGGAGACAGCTTAGCCGAAATGAGGAACTTGGGCATTGCTGTAGAAGACTCTAACATTACAAATGTGATCTATGTGGATATTTAATGTGTTTTCAAAGTAAGTCCACTGAAAACTTTTTTGTTGTTGATAGAATTCTGAACAGTAAGAACATCAGTTGCTGTCTATGACCTTGGTGGGGAGATTGCCCAATGTATTGTTTTGTTGAGTGATTGATTCCACCTGAGATTGGAAGTGAGGAAAAGGTCACGGCCAGCAATTAATACACTTTTTTTTTTTTTGTACAGTAGAGACGGTTTAGTACCTCTCTCAGGATTTTGTTTTCATTTATGACCCTATGGAGAGAGTTCCTTTTACTTCCCAGTTTGATGTCTACATGGGACAATGGTAGCGTTACAATCTAGGGGAGACGGGCAGCAGTAAAAACCTGCCATTAATTGTAACCCATTCAAACGGGGAACTCCAGCCCCAAAATTTTTATTAGGGATGCACCGACACCGTTTTTTTGGTATCGAGTACCGATATTTTTTTCCCTGTATTTACCGATACCAGAAGTCCCAGTAAGGAAGCCAGGCGCAATGTAAAGACTCGCCACCCAGCTTCCCGATCAGCAGGAAAGCAGTTTCCATGCTCCCTCATCACCAGGTCACGAGGAAGGATGGAGCTGGTCAAGCAGGAACCTGGGCGCTGTGTAATGACACGTTGCCCAGCTTCCTGATTTGCTGAGAAGCTGGATAATCGGGAAGCTGGGCAACGTGTCATTACACGGCGCTTGGCTTTCTGATAAGCCGGCTTCCTATTACCAGAAGCTCAAGTACCGGGCTAGGCATCGGAGCATTTGGGTGAGTACAAGTACTCGCCCAAATACTTGGCACCAATACCAGTATCGGTGCACCCCTAATTTTTATCCCTCGTTTTTAGGGCTGCAACTAATGATGATTTTCATAATCGATTACTTGGCTGATAATTTTTTCGATCAGTCGGATAAAAAACATTAAATATCATCCCTAATTTAAAATAAAGTACACAAATGGAGTGTTACAAAGTTTACTTCAGAATAAAACTACATGCACAATTTTTTGCAATCGCACTGCACTGGAAAACCGTGCATTGCGGTACCGTGTGTTCCAGTGCGGGCGATCACACTGCGGGTGGAAGGCCCATTAAAATGAATGGCACTGCAACTCGCCTCCTGCAGCAGAATTTGTCAGGCCGAAACCGAAAATGACTTTTTTCCCACCTTTTTTTTAATTTCTTTTTTAATACTTGTATTGTAAGCCCGTGGTGCTGGAATAGCTTCAGCCAGTGAATGGCAGCTGCCCGTGGCAAGACTCCGCAGACGGCAGCTGAATGTAAATACAGCAGGTAGTGGGCTGGTGCAATAGCCAGCTATTGGCCATTTCAAATTACAAAAGCCAATAGCAGGCTGGGTAACGTACCCGCCCACTGCTTGCTGTGCCCTCCTCCCAGTGTGGAGAAGAGAGGTGGGGGATCCAACTAACTAATCGATAATGAGAATAGTTGACAACTACTCTCATTATTGATTAATCCATCAGTTGGTTGCCGCCTTACTCGTTTTGTATGAGGAAGGGTTGAATGTGTCTACAATGATGGAATTTTCGCTTCCCGTCCTGAAGATAGTAGTGGAAGTAAGGAAAACCGGCGCTTATCGCTTATGTTCAGATATTCCTTTCTTCTCCTGCTGTACATTATAAAATGATGTTATGACAGAGGATCGGACACTATGTAACCTAAAAACTCTAAAAAAAAAAAAAAGTGGATCTCTACTTTAAGGGCCCGATCACAACAAAATCGGAAGGTAGTTGTAAGTCAATGGAGGGTCAGTTGACTTGCGATTAAACTTTCTGATTTCCTTCTGATCTGTTGTGTTGCAATCTGTTTTTCAACCGATGCTAATGCAAGGGCACCAAAAAATAATTGGGTATGAATGGGACCAGTGCATATTGCTGCGTTGTGTTAAGTTGCACTGAAAAAAAAATCACATGTCAACTTTTTGACATGAACGGAGCGGAGTGAACTGGTCCCATTCACACTCATTCAGTTTTTGGGTTACCTTCCATTGTCATCCATTGACATCCGTTGAATGGTGTGAATGGGGCCTTTATGCTTTCAGTATCATCAGTACTATAGTCTGTTATGCAAATAAGTTTTATTTCTAATTTCTAAAATGATGTCTGTGAGAAATAGTCCTTTTGGATTCAGGCTGGAAACACAACTCTCAACCTTTATGCATGTTTCCTTGCATTTTAACTAGAGGTGCACCGAAATGCATATTAAAAAAACGAAACCGAAATAAAAAAAATGTCAGGCCGAAACCGAAAAAAAAATTATTTTAACTTTTTCCATTTTTAAAAAAATATTTTGTTTTTATTTACTTTTTATAAACCTTTTTTTTATTAAACATTTTTTTTATATTTATTTTTTACTTTACTTTTAAGCGCTTCTGGGAAAGATTGGGGGTCTAAACAGACCCCTGATATTTCCCTTTTTAAAATAGAAAAAGAGATTTAGGACACAAAGTCATCCTATCTTTTTTTCTGTGCCCCCTGTTATCAATGAATAGGAATCCTCTATACTGAGTGTTCCTGTTCATTCATAACATGAGGACAGAGTATGTTTACTATATCCACAATCATGAATAATCAGGAAGTGATGTAGATCACTTCCCATTCATTCATAATTGAGGCTATAGTAACCATACTATGTCCTCAATTATTTACAAATACTCAGCGATCACTAATCACTGGCTGCTTGTACCCGCTCTCCATCCTGACACGCTGTCACAGGAGGCTGAGCGAGAGGTGTAGGGAGGAGAGCCCAGCCTCCTGTGACAGCGCTGGCTGTCTCCGCCCACACTGCTCTGCCGATCTGTCACAGGAGGCTGAGCGGTGTGGGAGGAGAGACGCCGGCTGCTCACAGCGCTCTCCTCCCGCAGCGCTCGGCCGTCTGTCACAGTTTCTCTTCTCCCGCTGGGACACAGAGCAGCGCAGGGCGGGGAGGAGAGAATATACGCATGCGCCGATGTATCGGCCAGAAAATGGCACTTTCAACATTATGCCAAAAGTGCCATTTTCGGCCGATATGTTTCGGCGGCCGATATATCGGTGCATCCCTAATTTTAACAGGCTTTGCATTGCATATCTGCACACTCTGACATGCCTTTTAATATGGATTACAGTATACAGTGACATAGGTTTTGTTGCGTCTACATTGAAATCAATGGAACATGCATTAGGCAAAAGCACAAAGCTGTGTTTCCAACCTATGTGGAATCTTGAAATCTTCATTAGCACTAAAATGATAATTCTTATGTACAGTCGGTAATTAATTTTGTGGTTGATACCCCCTGCCAGGACAAGGTTCCCTTACATGTGAGCTGTGTGGAACGTGCTTTGAGACCCGGAAGGGCTTGGCCAGCCACTCACGCTCCCACCTACGTCAATTTGGGATTCCGGGGCCAGAAATCAGTGCTCCCATTGATCTACTGAAAGAGCTAGTCAAGCAGGGCAAGCTTCCGAAAGAGGAGAGCCCATTGGGGGCCAAGAAGGTGGCCAGTTCCCAGCAAGGACCCCCCAAAGCCCAGTGGGGGGATGAGGACGGGCCTTTGAATCTGAGTGAGTGGAGCTAAGGGAGGCCACTAGTGCCACGGGTGGGCTCAACAGGGCTTTTTAGGAATGTTGGGAGGGCTAGAGGCAGGCATCTACTATTAATATTTGGCCTGTCTCACTCTTTCCTTTCTTCTCCTTGTCTTCACATTCTCCCCTCGCCTGTCTCTGTCTTCACATTTTTTACCATTTCTGTTCCTTTCTTCATTAACATCTTATAATTTTATTTTAATTTTGTATTCTATTTATTTTTTTCTCTCCATGTTATTTTTCATCATTTCATTTCATCCCCTTTTTGTGTTTTGTATACCCCACCACTTCCTCTTACAGGTGTCGAAGGAGATCCAAACCGAGAAAATGAGTGCGAGTTTTGTGGTGCTTGGTTTGAGACCAGAAAGGGCTTGTCCAGCCATGCTAGGGCTCATTTGCGCCACTTGGGAATCAATGATCCAGAGGCAAAAATTTCCCCGATTGCAGCTCTAAACTCTCATATGAAAAGAGATGATTTTATGAAGCAAATGTCTGAGCAGACAGAAACTGACGACGAACCTATCGGCAGCAACGCCAATGATACAGAGCCTAACAGTGGCGCAAAGGGCAACGAAGCTGATCCTTTCGCCAAGCCAACAGAAAGCACAAACAAGGCAAGCGGCAATGCCTCTGCGAACCTGTCTGAAGGCGCTTCCCGCTCTATGTCGGCAGCAGAGAGTGGCCTGCAATTGGTAGACGGTGCAGGGCCTATAGAAACGTCTGCACATTTCAAATCCCCTAGTGGGTCAGGAAACGGCACGCAAATCAAAATAGTTGAAGCCGGTGCTCCTCGAGTCCTGTCTCCTAAGGCTTACGCCAAATTAGCTGGGGTTGGCAGTCCACACGTAAAGATGGAAGCTGGTCGTGGCCATGGCAAGATGCAACATGGCAACCAATCAAAGCTTTCCATAGGAGGCTTAGCTCACCACAGACCGATACCTGGTAGGATGCCACCTACCAAAAAAATGAAGATGATGTCTCAATCCTGTAAATCTAACCTGGATTCCTACTGGGCTCAGAAGAATGCCTCCAGTCCACTCAATCTTTGTGAGTATTTATTATACGGAGCATAATCAGTATCTAATATTTTGTTTTTCAATTAGTAAACCTGAGGATTACCTGATGGTATAATTCCCCTGATGGGAGGTACTTTGTCTGTAGACAGTTTGACTCTTTAGAGCATCAAGTGCAGCAGGGAAGGCTACATCACTGAGGGAAATGCTTTGTGTTTACTGATTCTGAAGGTCCTTTTATTAGAGCCTTCTTTGCAACACAGGATCATGAGCTCTGTTATCTGCCTTCTGCCACTTTTTTTATTCATACACACATATGTATATGATAACCCCCTTTGGCAAAAACATGAGTGTGGGGCACATTGGGAGAAGCTCACAGTGTGCAGTGAAATCAGAGGAAGCCATTTCAGTTCAGGAGAGGAGTCGGTACAACTGTGCAAGACTGAAGGGAAGGCCGGAGTTCAGCTTTAGCTATACTAGTCCAGGTCTACCAACAGCTGCCTCTAATATTTAAAGGAGAACTATGAGCTAGTGTTTTCCCCTATACTCAGGGTGACGGGAGGACATATACTCGCGTCCTCCCGTGACCAAAAGCTCAGTATATCACGAGCTACAGCTGCATGTGATTTGTATGCAGCAGCCTGTACTTCTCTATGGGAGTACGCGGCCCTACGCTCACTCGACCTGCACGTCCGTATGGGTGCGGGTGTCCCTGCTCAGATGCAGACGGGATCCAGCTTGTCGGCGTACGAGTACGGACACCCGCACCTGTACGGACGTGCAGGTCGGGAGAGCGTAGGGCGGCGTACTCCCATAGAGAAGTACAGGCTGCTGCGTGTAATCACACGCAGCACCTGTACTTCCCGGGAGCCGCCCGATACGGCCATGCACGCCGCACAGATCTGTACGGGCCGGCAGTGTGAATGAGGGCTAAGAGTTAAGTGCTTGCCTAGGGGACTGTTTCACTTACCTGATCCTCACTCCCCCCAGCTGCCTTCTGGCTGTTCCCTGCCACCTCTTCTCCCCATCACTCCAGCTGCCTAAGGACCACTCACGTCAACAAGTACGATGCAGACTCCATAGCCCTGCATTGTACGTGGGGACCCCGAGGGTGAGTCCACATCCGTGGAGGGGAAGAGGAGAGCGTTAATTTTCGGGGATCAGGTAAGTAAAACTGCTGTTTCCTGCCCCCTATAGATAAACAGGCAGGTAACCTGTGCAGAGTTCAGGCAGCCCCGCTGCAAGGGAAAACCTTTAATCCCCCGGCGCTGGCCTTTAAATGGCTCTTATTGAACCCATTTATAAAGTAGGTTTACTGGACTTTCCTGCTTTGCTTGGTTGGAGTGCGGTTTTTGTTTGTGCATGTATTATGTATGAAGACAATTTTGTTGTATTCATAATTCTCTCCAGAAACTGAACCGTTTCATTTTGCTCACACTAATCTGCTCCTTTCTTCCATTAATAATCGCATTGCTTGCTTAACAATAAAATCTTCTTTTTTTCTTCCTCCTGAGGGGCTGGCCTGTGTACCTTTCACCCCAGCTCTACCATCATGCTATATCAATCGTTTTATGGAAGTCTGAAATCTTCTCAGGAGATAGTTGTGTCGTGATCTCTGAAATCTTGGCACAGGAAGTGGAATAGCGGGATGCCGTGTGTTTGCCTAGTGTTGTGGCAGGCGTTAGGGGGCTGATGTATGAAACGTATGCCAACAAGGTCATTTCCTTTTGCAACCAGCCAGAGCCCATGTTTGATTTCCAACCGTGCACTGTAGTAGTAGTAGTAGCAGTTGGAAGCGAATTGTTCGCTGTGGCTAAAGCTGGCCCTGCACTGGTAGTTTTTCCTTGTCTGCCCCACTGAAACACTAGATTTCCCCATCCATGCTAAACGACATGGATAGGAGGAACTTCCCTGCCAGCTATTATATGAATTTCTGAACAGAGACCACAGCTGGCCGGCTGCAGCCACTGGTCGGCAAACAATTTTCAGCCCTACTCCTTTAAGAAATTGACTCTTGTTGACCAAGGTAGCAGGACTTGGCTAACAGTTAAGCAGGGTATGGGCAGCTTTACATAATAATCTTTTTAACACCCTTTTCATGCATAAGGGCCTTATTTTCCAGGCAGTATTCTTCAGTATAGAATATGAATATAAGGACATTGAAAATCATGGGCTTAGACTTCTAAAGTTTTAAAAAATACATGTTAATTTTTTAGGCCAGGTTCAGATATCGTAGATCCCGGGACCGCACGATCGTGCACGATTGCACACAGTGAAAATTGCGCATGATCATGTGCCATTTATCCTTTTTTCAGCGATTGCCACGCGGATGTAACCCCATTGAAATCAATAGGGCCGTGCGGCAATCGCTAAAAAAAGGATAAATGGCACACGATCATGCGTGATTGCACGGGCGGTATCATGGCGGGAAACTGCGATCTGCCTGGTGCCACAGGGGTGCCACTAGAAAATAATGGCACCGCCAGCGTGATCGTTGGGGGTGGGTGATTCTGTGACCGCGTGGCCATCCGCACGGTTTCGTGCATGATTGCTACAAAGTCACGGATCTTGCAGGAAAGCTGGTTTAGAATAAGCAACCTGTATTGGGACATTGGGGGGCTAGCGCTGGCAGCGTAAGAGTATGAACGGTAGAGGAAGGGAGAGGTGGCAGAGCGGTTTGGGTAAGTTTATTTTCTCACATTTTGTATGAAAGTGGACTTGCCCTTTAAAAAGTGTATGTCAAGCCAAAAATGTTTTTTCTTCGTTTTGGATAGAGTGGGGAAGAGTTAGGACTATCCAGGGCACTGTTTGGGCCAATGTCAAAGGGCTTTTGTTTGCTTCAGAATTGCTTCTCTCTTCATACAAGTCTGTTGGAATGTAGAAGCCAATGAAGCAAGTCAATTTCACCTGCAGTAGACTCCGAACGATCTCAGAAGCATCTTAAAATCAACACAGGCCCTTGGAGAGATTTACCCCTACTTCCTATCCGGCTGATTTTGTTTGTAGTGTAGTTAAAGGCTTTTTTTATTTTATTTGTGTCCCTGTTGCAGTATTTCACACACTTCCTGTCTGGTGGAACCATTGATGGTGAGATAGAAAGTGAAGGAAAATCTCTAATGGAGCCCAAAGCCTAACCTTTCCCCCACTCAAATGTAAAACATAAAATGTTTTTTTGGCATCTCCAATGTAATTCTTTCAGACCTGCAAAGTTGTTGGAGTACACCTTACAATTAGTGTTATTCATTAGTACTATCTTTACATATTGGATAGATAGTTACGCCATTGAGGAGCAATTCATTCAAATCTTTGACCAAGAAAGTGTCCTCCTCCTAGGCTACTTGTCTCTACATTTTGTCCAGCCCTTGGTGGTAGCTCTAGCAATGTGGCGGTCTAGTATTTGTGAGGATCTGCAGTTGTCCCTAATTGCTGATTTGTTCAGAGAAATTCCTCAGCAAGATCAGAGTAATTCCTCATAGGTTGATACGATAATCGTATTTCTTTAGATTATTCACGATAGCTTGCCGGTGGAGAAGCAGTTGTGGAATCAATATTTAGGAATGCCGCAGATAAAGTTGCTCTGTTTAGGGACCAACTGATACTTCAGCGGTGCGGTCACCAATAGTTTGAAGCACATGCTGGCTTCTTACGGCTGTCAGGGACTCCAGTGGTGTGAGATGGTGCATCCTGTTGGTGTCCCAACAGGATGCCTAGTTATGCCAAACTTCCACAGCCGTTACTAAAGTAAAATGGCGGTGCGACATGTCCTGACAGGAAACCAGAGGCAGTTGAAAGCTGTGGTCATCTTGAGTCTTCCAGGTGGCGGATGTAGGGATTTCTTCTTCTGATCCTTAAAATTGGAACTCATACAGCCCTCTACATTTTGTTTTTTTTCCTTGCTTTGCCTTGCATGGCTTTACTCGATAATCTCTGCTGTGCTCTTCTCTCTGCATTGCTTCCTTGCACGCAGTTTTGCTTTTTCGTAGTTTAGTATGGTCCTGTGCACTGTGCTCCAGTATGTACAGATGCAGGCCGAATAGAACTTTAAAGGGAACCTGCCATTTCTAGTCCTGCCGAAAACTGGATACCACAAGACGTCTTTATTACCTTTAATATCTTTTTATTAAAACTCTCCTCTGTGCTCCATTAAGTCGCTTTAACCGTGTTACAGGAGCCTAACTTCAGGTCTTGCCTAGCTGCCATCCCCCTGTAAAATCAGTAGCTATTAAAGGCGTTCTTAAAGGGGCTTGTCTTTTGGAGGCAGGCTTAGCCCAGAACTTAGGGAAGTCGAGTTCCTAGTACCAAAGCGAACAGAGCACAAAGGACATGGTTTATTAAGGTAATTGCAGGGAACTTGCTATGACTCAGGACTTCAATAAATGTTAGAATGGCTGACAGGTTTACTTTAATATCGATTATTGATTTAACATTATTAGGGTTTGTATATATGGTTGTGGTGACACGGTTATCACATGGCTGCATTGACTTGCTGGTAATAGATCTCTACAATTACTGCATGTTTTACCAATCTGTGCCCAGTTAGCAGCCATAATAAAATAGTACATAAACTAGGGCTGGTAAGGATTAAAATTTTCGTGTTCGATTAATCGAAATTTTTTTTCATCGATTAATCTTGATTAATTATAACGCACATACAGATCCAACTACATTGGCCTATACACAAACAAGCACAGCAATGAAGTAATAAACTAAACTAGGATCACACTAATCCAGCACGTTATTATTCTCACGTGCCCCACTCAATATGGCCGCTGCTTGAGTGGGGCAACTCAGAATAATAACGTGCTGGATTAGTGTGATCCTAGTTCATTTTATTACTTCATTGCTGTGCTGTATGTGTATAGGCCAATGCCTTGGCTGGAGCTCGTGCAGAAAAATTTTCTTGGGCTAACGAAGGGAAGGGGGGAGGAGTCCGGTGACGTCACGGACATCGACGTCACCGGACTCCTCCCCCCTTCCCTTCGTTAGCCGTCACGGACATCGACGTCATCGGACTCCTCCCCCCATTCCCTTCGTTAGCCGACGGAGCCACTTGGGGAAGGGGGGACGTCGATGTCCGTGACGTCACCGGATCGCCGACGGGACTCCCGGAAGCCGGCGGAGAGGTGAGTGTTTTCAAAATAATTTTAATCGATCAAAAAGTTTAACGATTAATCGAGAAATTAATCTTTAATTTCCACAGCCCTAACATAAACATTTACATCAAATAGCTTTGTCTTCTCCCTGGTATATTTTTTAACTTTTTAATTCAATCAGTCAGTGATAACAGGCTTTTGTTTGCTTCAGAACTGCTTTGCTTCCCATACAAGTCTATGGGATTGCTGAAGCAGGTCAGCTGCACCTGCAATGAATTCTAAATGAAATGTTGCAGACAGACATCTAAAGTAAGCTGCATTTGGGCATTGAAGCTTGTTGATACAGGCCCCAACTTCTCTTCTGCTGCACGCCCCCATTCAACAGCACCGTTCATGAATGAGGGATAGAATAATAAGAAGGAAGGTGTCTTTTCCCTTCTCCTAAAAAAGAAATGTCACCAGCACACCAGAATCCTTTTAGGATAGCAGAATGTTCATTTATTTGAAGTTCCTTGTCATATTAACAAGCGCTTTCGGGGCCCTGCAGAGTCCCTTCATCAGACTAAGCATTTTCCTTTCACCTGCCCCCATGACATAAACATATGATGCTCAGTGGACCCAAGTACCCAAATGTTTGTTCCAACAAACACAACCATAAAGTTCTCTTCCAACAGTCAGTTGGTGCCAGGCACACCTAACTGTCTTTGAGGTCTGTGGCCACCGATAAGTTCACCTTTTGCAATAATTAAAGAAATGCATTATAATTATATA